TGCCAATGTGTTGGCACTGATAAGTGGAGATGAGAGGACGTAGGTGTCTGAGAGCTTCAGGTGAAAGTTACATGAACTGATGATGTGATTGGTTTGACGGTCCAAGGATAAAGTTGAATCTAGGATGACACCGAGGTAGCTGAAGTGATCGGTGAACCTGATGCTGCGACCAAACATGTATCTGTGTGCTGGGAGTGCGGATGGGTTGAGACGTTGCCTGGTACCTAACACGAAGGCCACTGACTTTGACGGATTAAGGGCAAGGTTGTGTGCAGAGAACCACTGTTGCAGGGCGGTGGTGCATTCCGAGAGACTCTCAAATCCAGACGCATTGGTAGAATTGATGGCGGTGAACAGAATAGTGTCGTCCGCATGAGTGGTGCTTAACACCGAAGCTTGCGATGAGGCGGCCGATCGGGGAGGTGTCGGCTGTGAAGGGCAGGGGACTGAGGAAGGAGCCCTGGGGACACCACATAACGCTTTTGTTTCGGGAGATGTGGACGAGCCCACCCTGACTGAGGATTGCCGATCAGAAAGGTACGACATATACCGAAGTCGGATTTCAGGAGGGAAGTAAGGAGCGAGTCGTTGACGGTGTCAAAGGTTGATAAAATGCCCAGACTTTCAAGTGCAACGATGGAGCCGGAGTCAATAATCATTAAAATGTTGTCAAGCACTCTGGTGAGTGCTGTTTCTGTGGAGTAGTTTTGACGGTAAGCTGACTGGAAGGAGCAGGAGTTTGGGGAGGAGGTGATGTGGGGTTTTAGCTGGGCGAGGGCTGAGTCTTTCGAGGAGTTTATAGAGGTTCTAGAGATTAGTGATGGGACAATAACAAGACGGGTCATCAGGGTCGAGACTTGGTTTCTTTAACAGGGGTGTAACCAGGCCAGATTTGAGGTTGGATGGAAAACACCCCGTAGAGAATGAGGCGTCTGCGATGTTCCTGATCATGATGGCGAGTTCCGGAGCACATTGCTTGAACAAGGAACCTGGGAGGACGTCGAGTGGAGATGACTTCGTGTGAAGCGATTGAATCAAAAATAAAATGTCTTTTGAAGACACCGGCTTGAGCGTGGTTAGAGAGGTGTCTGGGTGAGTGCTTACAATTTCAGAAAACGGGAGCGGGGTATGATGGTGCGATGTGAGGGAAGACGTGCAGGAGCACGTGTGGACAGGTGTCTTTTATACAGGTAACAAGCTGAGAGCCTGAAATCTTTCTGATTGAGAAGGGGTCAAATACTTATATTCTTAGCTCTTTCGGTAAAGTCACGTTGAAGGGAAACAATAAAATAATAAAATATATATATAAAACAATAAGAAATAAAATACTTATTTCCCTCATTAAAATGCAAATCAATTTATAACATTTTTTACATGCGTTTTTCTGGATTTTGTTGTTGTTATTCTGTCTCTCACTGTTCAAATAAACCTACCATTAAAATTATAGACTGATCATTTCTTTGTCAGTGGGCAAACGTACAAATTCAGCAGGGGATCAAATACTTTTTTCCCTGACTGTAGGTTTGAGATGGGTTCAACCCAAGGGTACGTGGGCGGGACTAGAGATGGAATTTACAATAATATACCTCGGCCATTGTATTGCTAGAGATGAGCATGTCAATCTGTTAATGTAACCCCACGACTACGGTGCTGAAGAAGCCATTGTATTGCTCGAGATTAGAGATTAGCGTGTCAATGTGAGACGGCTCCCGCAGCAGCGGCTGTGTTAATGATGGAGACATTCAGCCTATTAAACAACGAGCACCACCACCGCATTGAGGAAAAGAGAAGCAGTGGCTATTTTAGTGAGACATTTAGCCTGTTAATGTAAAGACATTTAACAAGGTGCTGTAACTCAGAGAGTCTGAAATAACTGTTAACATCGACAGGTAGGATGGAAGCATCACAGCCAGGTATGACTTTACCTGGTTGATTACATCCTTCCAATGATTGCTCAGTTTGTACCCATCTTCACGGTTGAAATTGTCTGTGTTTTTATATATCTGGATGGCTTCATGAACAAATCTTTGTTGTTAGCCAGTGGGTTTGCATAGTACCTTCATCTTGGAGAAATCAATATCATGTGTGCCCACAGCATTAAAACAATGATCAGCCACAGCAGAGGTATGAGTCCTACCGTGTTTCAGATCTGCCTTGTGTTCACGAATACGGTCTGAAACATGTCGCTTGGATTCCCTCGCGAATCATGTATACCATAAACCCGCATGTCCTTTGGACATGACGGTGTTATGGTATACATTATTTCCTCGTTACTCGCGAGGGATACGTTTCTGGAGATGCTCGTGAATAGCAAATATGCCGAAATAAATACACCAGCTATTAAATCATGAAAATTATCATAACACCCAAAAACATTTTTGATTTAAAGCTTTCGTGACTGCAGTAATTCATATTCTTAGTTTTTCGGTAAAGTCACATTGAAGAGAAACAACAAAATAACAAAATATATATAAAACAATAAAAAAATTCTCACGACGTTTCGACCATAACTCAAACGGTCATCATCAGGTGTGTCGGTTTGCATAAATTTATTTTGAAAACGGCATATTTATTTATTTATATATAAATTAAAAAAATAACGTTTGCGTCACGCGCAACGATTGGCAGTTTGCCCAGGACTAGTCCATCTATTTTTTGAAAAGAGGAGGGGGGAGACGAAATTTGTTTTTATGTATGCTGTCTGAAAGCCACTGTAAGCGTGAACAATCAATCAAGAACTGAAATGATTTATCAAATCTTTCCAATGATTGCTAAGATAGAATCCATCTTCTCGGTTGAAATTGTCTCTGTGTTTGTATATGTGGATAGCCTCATGAACGAATCTCTCATGGAAGCCAGATGGCTTACAAAGAACCTCCGTCTTGGAAAAGTCAATGGCATGTGAGCCTACTGAATTAGAACAATGATCTGCTACGGCCGAGGTGTTGGTCCTACCGTGTTTAAGGTCTGCTTTATGTTCACGAATGCGGTCCGAGATATGGCGTTTGGTTTCTCCAATGTAACTACTACCACAGAGGCAACTTAGTTTGTAGACACCAGGGTATTGTATGTCCGGAATCACATCTTTTACAGACGGAACCAGATCACGGATTTTATGTAATGTGTTGAAACGGACCTGGATCTTGTGTTTATTCAAGATTTTGGAGATCTTTTTTGTGATCCCAGCAATGTAGGGTAAAGTGATGGTTTTGAAAGGCTCCTCAAGAGGGTTCTTCTTCATGGTTTGAGTGATAGCTTTGCGGATTGTATAGTTGGAGTAACCATTAGCCCTAAGAGCTTGGTGTACGTGCTTGAGTTCACTGCTTATGTGTTCCTGGTCGGATATGCATTGGGCTCTATGATACAGAGTCTTGATGAGAGAATTCTTCTGTGATGGATGGTGGTGGGAATCCGGTTTCAGATAATTAAAAAGAGACCTGATGGTTCAATGAGCCACTCTGTCTACAGGAAAGCTACCCATACGGATGCTTATCTGAAACCGGATTCCCACCACCATCCATCACAGAAGAATTATCTCATCAAGACTCTGTATCCGACCAGGAACACATAAGCAGTGAACTCAAGCACGTACACCAAGCTCTTAGGGCTAATGGTTACTCCGACTATACAATCCGCAAAGCTATCACTCAAACCATGAAGAAGAACCCTCTTGAGGAGCCTTTCAAAACCATCACTTTACCCTACATTGCTGGGATCACAAAAAAGATCTCCAAAATCTTGAATAAACACAAGATCCAGGTCCGTTTCAACACATTACATAAAATCCGTGATCTGGTTCCGTCTGTAAAAGATGTGATTCCGGACATACAATACCCTGGTGTCTACAAACTAAGTTGCCTCTGTGGTAGTAGTTACATTGGAGAAACCAAACGCCATATCTCGGACCGCATTCGTGAACATAAAGCAGACCTTAAACACGGTAGGACCAACACCTCGGCCGTAGCAGATCATTGTTCTAATTCAGTAGGCTCACATGCCATTGACTTTTCCAAGACGGAGGTTCTTTGTAAGCCATCTGGCTTCCATGAGAGATTCGTTCATGAGGCTATCCACATATACAAACACAGAGACAATTTCAACCGAGAAGATGGATTCTATCTTAGCAATCATTGGAAAGATTTGATAAATCATTTCAGTTCTTGATTGATTGTTCACGCTTACAGTGGCTTTCAGACAGCATACATAAAAACAAATTTCGTCTCCCCCCTCCTCTTTTCAAAAAATAGATGGACTAGTCCTGGGCAAACTGCCAATCGTTGCGCGTGACGCAAACGTTATTTTTTTTATTTATATATAAATAAATAAATATGCCGTTTTCAAAATAAATTTATGCAAACCGACACACCTGATGATGACCGTTTGAGTTATGGTCGAAACGTCGTGAGAATTTTTTATTGTTTTATATATATTTTGTTATTTTGTTGTTTCTCTTCAACGTGACTTTACCGAAAAAACTAAGAATACCCAAAAACATTGTTAGTTATAATAAACATGAAATAAATATAAAGTATCATATCATAGTTCATACATGAAATTACCTTTATCTCATCACTTTCTCTCTCATCGCTGCACCTCATCACTTTCTCCCATCACATTATCCCTCATCACTCTATCTCATCACTTCATCTCTCTCTCGACGCAGTCGTGTGGAGTTCCAGATGCGATTCGCGGATAGCCAAAATCGCGGAAAGCAAGTTCTTGAATAACGAGGGAAGACTATAATGCCTCCTACACTCGATCAGTCCATCTTTTTGTTGGTCATCCTCTGCCTGCCTCTGCTTCCTTCCACCAAAGCGTTGCCATTGTTTTACAGAACCCTGTTTGGTAGAAAGAGACCCAAAGAAATGTTATAATAAAAAAATGGCAGAAGTCGTGTAAAGTTCCAGATGCAATTCAGTTCGGATAGCCAAATTCGCGTTCATCAAGTTCGTGAACAACCAGGGAATAATGTACACGTGTGTTTAAAACAAATATTGTACCTGCAAAGGTAGCCAGCAGAGTGCAAATGTGCCCACGGACATGACGAGCAAGCGGAACGTCTTGCGTCGCTTCTGGTGCCAGGTGCGGCGCGCGTTGACGGTGCAGTGCGCGCCGCCGGGAGGCACCCGGCCTCGCAGGGTCAGCGAGATGGCGCAGTAGGAGGCCGACACGGCCAGCAGTGGCAGCAAGTAGGACACGATCATCATCGCGCACGAGTAGGCGAGACGCTGGTCCTCCAGGCCGGTCCACAGCTCCTCGCACACCACGATCGCCAGCTCCGACTCGTTGGTGTTCTGAAAAGAACAATGATGCTAACAATGATGATGATGAGGATGATGATGATGATGATGATGATTTCCGCTTGTGAATCGCTGCCGCCGCGGTGTTCGCTCGCTCTCGTAGACAGAGGAGTAATCGGAGGAGCGCGGAGGAACCACGGGCAGACGAGAAGGGGGACAGGCGATTAGGCGACGCTATCCACAATTGCCCACGTTCTGCGGTCCTCAATATGTGCAGGTGTTATCGGCCAATTGATGAGTGTGCACACGTGGCGGTAAACCGGAGAAACCCGTCGCGTCCCGTGCAGACGGAACAGGTGGGAGTCCACGTTGCTTGCTGTACCGCCATCTGCTGGCGAGCCAGGGTTATGACACGTGGTCGACGCCCCACGGTACGAGAGTTTCACGACATTTGTGCGGTGATCCACCAACCCTCGCTGCTGCCTCCACAGTGCTGGGTTACAGACCACGTGGGTATTCACGACCGCCCGGCTAAATGTCACGTTGATTAACTTTGGTGATAGCTTATCTCCTTGCCTGACTCATCTTCTCATACGGTAATCATGGTGCTTTCTTCATACAAATCTCAGCCTTGCGGTTTCGTCTCTACAAATGGTTTAAATAATTTACATGGCACCTCGACGCCCACTGGACAGGAGTTATATTCTTAGCTCTTTCGATAAAGTCACGTTGAAGGGAAACAAAATAATAAAATAGATATAAAACAATAAAAATTCTCACGACGTTTCGACCATAACACAAACGGTCGTCATCAGGTGTGTCGGTTTGCATAAATGTATTTATTTTTAAACGGTGTATTTATTTATTTATAAAAAAAACCATCAGCGCCACACACAGCGATTTGGCAGTTTATTTAGAAACACTAGTCCATCTATATTCTGAAAAGAGGAGGGGGGAGACTATTTTTTTTTAATGTATGCTGTCTGAAAGCCACTGTAAGCGTTAACAATCAATTAAGACCTGAAATGGTTTATCAAATCTTTCCAATGATTGCTAAGCCAGAATCCATCTTCTCGGTTGAAATTGTCTCTGTGCTTGTATATGTGGATAGCCTCATGAACGAATCTCTCATGGTAGCCAGATGGCTTACAAAGAACCTCTGTCTTGGAGAAGTCAATGTCATGTGAGCCTACTGAATTATAACAATGATCTGCCATGGCCGAGGTGTTGGTCCTACCGTGTTTAAGGTCTGCTTTGTGTTCACGAATGCGGTCCGAGACATGGCGTTTGGTTTCTCCAATGTAACTACTACCACAGAGGCAACTTAGTTTGTAGACACCAGGGTACTGTATGTCCGGAATCACATCTTCGCAACATTTGTCTGGTGAGCCATCATCCCTCGCTGCGGCCTCCACCACAGTGCTGGATTGCATGCAGCCGCGTGCACAGCCACCACCGGTTCGATCCGACCCGGTCAATCAGCTTCACCCCAGCAGCTATATCTCTAAGCGCCGTTACTCCAATATTGCGACAAACAACAACTGATACAATTACACTAAATTACATCTTCTGCCATACCCTCCTTAGGTTAATGTTTTATACACAACTAAACTTTTCAGCAACTGATATTAATTACTCTGTAACACAATACACCTTAATATAATGAAGGAGAGCATATGTTTCAATCAATCAAACTGTCTTTCTATAGCACTATTCGTGCAAAAAAGTGCAATACATAGTGCTTTACAGGCATCAACAATAAAAGTGAAATTGTAGACGAAATAAAATCACTCAACAAATCTCTAGCAAAGACGTAATAAAAAAAGAACACGTTAAGAAGATACGAATTAAAAGCAAGTTAAAAAAGGTACATTTATTTATTTTAATAATGCCTAATGATTCTAAAGGCCTCAGATCCCCTGTCGTGCTGTGCCACAGGTGAGGACTATACACACTAACAGCTGCTTCTCCCTCGGTTTGGCTCCTGGCCTTTGGGACGACTAAAATACCAGTACCAGAGGATCTGAGTGATCTGAAGGATCTTGTTGGTTTCACCACTATTTTAACCCGGTAAATTACAAGAAAGTAAATATTGATCAACCGCCAATTGTTCACTGGGTTCGCCTGCGTGGCTGTCCTGATGATGTCATCGAGCCGACTTGCGGGCGGCCCCAGATCAGGCAGCGCGTTCACGCGAGGCCTAGAGGCTCTTTGCTAAACACCTGATGGATGGTCTCAACCTCAACAAGAAACCGATCGTGCATTCACTCAATAACCACGCGAGCGTTTAGTTCTGGACTCACGTGTTGCCGTGTTGCCCTCTGTTCGTTAACCGCACGGCCACTGATGACGTTTTGACTGCCTCATCCGCCAATGCTCACGTCCAGCGCGAGATGTTCATTCTGTGCGTGAACGCGCGCGCGTCCTGAACGCGTGCGCGTGCTGTCCGCGCGCAGCAGCGTGCTGTCCACGCGTGCTGTCCACGCTGCTGCGCGTGCTGTCCACGCGCAGCAGCGTGCGGCTGTCCACCTGCAGCAGCGTGCGGCTGTCCACGCTGCTGCGTGCGGCGATCCGCGCGCTGGGTCACGACCCAAGCGACGCGAGTTCGATTCCTGCTCACGGCCACCAACACCGGTGACGATTACCTGAGGCGGTCCTGGGCCTCCCTTAGGTCGACTCAGCTTCCAATGAGTACTGTCCCTGGGGCTGTGTGTACACATCGCCACTAGGCAGACAAAGGCGGCCGGGCATGGTGCTGGCCGCCCACCCCTTGGTGTGCCGTGCCGGCCTTCATCGGCGCTTTTCGATAGCACTTGCTCTAAAAGTAGGCTCAGGCTATACCGGGGGTCTTTGTCTTTGTGTACTCGACTAGGCACTTGAAAGAGGGAGGAGAGACGCTCACAACAATGGGCATAACGCAGGGCGCATAAACAAACAGACAGAATGTTGTTGTGCACCTGCCAGTGATCTCAGTAAACACATAACCTCCTGCCAGCGAGCCTTCCACAATTTGACGGGGCTTCGAAGTGCACCTAGCCTGTTACAAACGCTGTGACGACGTGAATATCGCTTAGTGGCGAACATCTGAAGCGGTGCTGAATCTCCCCGAGGTGAATTCAACCTAAAATGAGCACCTGATATGGTGTGTAAACACTAGCACTGGGGAGACAAAGGTGGCGGGGCTTGGTGCTGGTCCTTGCTACCACCCACTCGCGTACCCAGCTGGCCTGCCCAGGTCCTTACTAGCAGCACCTGGCCCAACAGCCCGTGTAGGCTACACGGGGATCTTTGCCTTTAGTGCGTATTCGAGTGGTGTGCAAGTGCGCAGTGCCATGTTTGTTTCTGAAAAGTCTCACTTCTTCACAGAGTGATCATGAAATAACAATGGAAGACGACAATCGTAATTGCGGTGATTAACACAAGCTCTGCCCCATTACGTTGGCGGTGCGTAAAACGTTCTCCGGAGTAAATGACTGCGGTGCAATGAAAGCGACGTCTTTGTTTCCTGACGTCAGCGAGCGCGCCATACGCATGGTTCGAGGCCGACACAGCACATTGATAGAGCAAACTTGTGGCAGGCTCCGGTTGTGAGTGTGCAGTGCGGCCGAATCCGCGCCTCCAAGCTCTAATATATATCCCTACCTGAAGCGCGTGACGGCATAGTGCGTCAAAGGGCCAAACAAGACCCCGACATAAATCATCGGATACTATTCTAAAGTCTCAAGTGATTCCGCTTCTCGAATTTGCATTGCGGCATTGGTCCTCATCTCGTGCTCACAGCCACACACGGTGGCTTTGCTGCCCGTGCTAACCCAGCCGTGTGGAGGCGGCAGCGAGGGTTGGTGGATTCTACCCCTGTTGTGAAACTCTCTTTGCGCGTGAGCGCCGAGATCCCATACCCTCGCTCGCCCGGAGAAGGCAGTAGAGCAAGTGAGCTAATTGCCATCTGCTATCCATCTGTATGGGGGTAGAGTGCAGCCCAGAGTGTAACCCCCTAGCGCAAGGCGAGGGTTCCCTTCGGGTTTGCTCCCACTCGTTTAGTACGCTACCCAGCATTAATTGGCTCCACAAATCTGAAAAATAAAAAAAAAACCCAATGCAGGGCCTTAACCTGAAAAAAATAGCTCTACAACCGAATGCGACTTTCTTGGATACATCGTCACCATCAAACTGTAACTATCGTGAACACAGCGAACAGAACGCGATATCGCGATATCGTGTCGTCACAATTTACATCGCGTCGTGCAGGTGACAGGTGACGAAGGCGGCTGAGCCCGGGATTTGCCCACCTGCGGTTCTTCGGTGCGAAAGTCGATGTAGACCGTGTTGAGGGCCGCGGGGCAGGCAAGCGCGGCCGAAGCGATCCAGATGAAGCCCGCAGTGAGCGCGCACGACCGCACGGCCACGCGCCTCCGGATGGGGTAGGCCACCACCACGTAGCGGTCCAACGCGATGGCCGTGAGCGACAGCACGGACACGTGGACCGTGGCCGGCTGCAGCAGGGCCACCAGGTAGCACAGCAGGGCCCCGTAGACCCAGCCCCGGGGCTCGAAGGCGAAGGCGGCGGAGATGGGCACGCAGGTGAGGCACACCAGCAGGTCCGAGAGCGCGAGGTTGCCCAGCAAGAAGTTGGTGGCGTTGTGAAGCCGCTTGGTTCTGGCGATGACCAAGATGAGGAGAAGGTTGCCCGACACGCCGACCAGCGTGAGCAGGGCGTAGAGGGGGATGAAGATCTGTTTGAGGGACAGGAGCACGAGGAATCCCTCGAAGTGCTCCTGCTCCTGAGAGAGGTGTTGAGGAGGCGTCATGCTCTGATCTCGTGGAGCCACAACTTTGCTGACGTTCATCGTTGATGTCGGATCGCTGCCAGACAAACGGACTGCCGCTCGCTTCCGTGGTGAATAAATTGATGTGCTGCCGAGAGCGATTGATGTGTTTCCGTCTGTGTTTTTTTTCTGAGATGATTGTTGCATTAGATTGTTGTCGTGTTACTTAATGAAATGGCTATTTGTAACACGCGTGTTTTTTTTATCATATATCGAATGCTATTGTAGTCTTTTGTTTAAATATCTGTATATCCGATAGTTTGCATTGTACATGTTTATTAAGATGATGAAACCCGTGGTAGCCGGGACGCACACACAATGTGTGTTGTAGCTAGAATACAGACTGCAATGACGACTCCGACCTATTTTATGGAGTACACAATTAGGCGAAACACCTCCACCCTCGTCCCACACAAATTGCTAAGCCAAAGACTCACGAAACAGACGGCGAATTATTCCAAACACGAACATTATTATTTGCCGAAGTGTTCCTTGCAAAGTGTTGATTTTTTTGTCTCACGTCTCATTAGGTTTAACGCAAAATACAAATTCAACCTTTAACATTACAATTACTTAATATGCACATAAATATTGCACGCTTATATTATATATGCAGATTTAACAATAATTATCATCATTATTCGGTGATTCATTCCACGTTCCGAAGATACTCTGGCTACAGCACGTGCGTGATTTTTTTTTACTTGGCAATGCAACCGAAGGGGACGGTTGGGTGGATGGTGAATGATGAATGAAGCGTCGACGCGACACGCAAAGAGAGCGAGAGACGGAGCTGATCCGCTTCAGGGCTTAAGAATTTGGACTCCCTCCGCCGCCTTGTTCGCCTGCTGTACCTCTAACCTCGCCGTCCACGCTCTCCCTTTATATAGCAGCCACGCACACCGAAGCACGCAGAGTGGCTGCGTAGTTGACGTGCCAGCGAGCTCCTAGAATACGCGCGCGTACGTCCACTCACCACGCACGCATGCACGCCGCAACGGTGACCAGGGTTGGTACGGGACACTTGCAAAGCCCCATCGAAGAGTCTCATGTCTGTTTTTTTTTGCTTGGAGGGTCCCTGCCAGCCAAGTTGCGATGATTGGTGATGCATTTTCCAAATTAATAATTTTTAGGCTAAGTTATTTTGTTCTAAGAATAGGTTTTCCCCTTTTTTCTGGCAACAAAACAGGTTTTGATTTAAAGCTTTCGTGACTGCAGGGATTCATATTCTTGGTTCTTTCGGTAAAGTCACGTAGAAGGGAAACAATAAAATAATAAAAATAATAATTTTCTTGCTGTGGTTTTGACACCTGATGATGATTGCTTGTGTTGCAGTCGAAACGTCGTGATAATTTTATTGTTTTATATTTTTATTATTGTATTGTTTCCCTTCTACGTGACTTTACCGAAAGAACCAAGAATATAATAACAAAAGAGGTGTTAAGATGTTAAAACACAAAACGGAAACCTTTTACAAGGAATCATGTCTGCAAACAAAAACACATACTCTGATTGGTCCACACCAGAGACAACTTTCTTTCGAGCCAAGTCTCAAACGGTGTTAGACCAGAGGACGCCAAAGCTGAAATTAGGAAAATGTGGATCGTGACGCCGCCACGCAATGGCATACTCTTGCGAATGACGTCACGGGATCTTTAACGCACAGTCATTATAACCAGGGCGGCCGCTAGGATTCGAACCATAAAACTCTGCAACAATCCCGCTCGGCGATGTCACCTGGGCCATGTCACAATCTAAAGAGTTCTAATTTGCGATGTGGTCTCTCTCTCGGTTATTTAAAGTCCAGTAATGCGTGGGACGCATCTGTCACCCATACAAGCGGCACGCTGCTAATTGAGATTATAATCAGAAGCACGTGCGGCATTAATATTGAAATATGCAGGCAATTTAGGCGCGCTAATGAGCAAAATGTGTCAAATATCAAGGATTAATTACGGCGTCAAGTCTCCCTGTGAAATTGCAAATTTTTTTTTTGTTAAACACACGCAGATAATGGACAATTTGGAGGCGAACCGAACAAAGCAAGAAATTTGGATTCCGAGCGGGATTTTTTTTATAGAACCATCCACCCCATTAATAACATCGACAATGTTCCCAAAAATAAATAAAACATAATGTAAAATACAATCATGTGCCTCCCTTGTAGACCACAAAATGGCATTTGACTCGGTGGAATTCATGCATTTAAGGCTGACATATACACGTGTGAAATAAGGGTTATTTAAATAGTTGTGTTGTTGCATTCCAGGTAACCGCAAGAAGAACCCGGTTTGTCGTACGTAAACACACGCCTCGTAAACAAAATATAGCATTCTAACATGTTGAACCGAGAACCAAAGGGATCTGTCACAGTGGCCTAGTCATTGTTTAGCACATCGGGCTTGAAATTCAGAGGTCGCCTTCTTGATTCGATCTCTCCGCGCGGCAGTTCAAACCGGTTTTTTAATCCCCCCTCCCCTTCCGTCCATCCACAGTGAGTGGATGGTCGCGTGTAGTGGGGTAAAGGTGTGGGTATGTTCAGCTGCAAGACGTCTGGTCAGCGTGGAAATAGAAAACAAAGCCCCTTGAGAGCCCCCTCTCGTTGAGGCCCTTATGCCTGCAGGGGCGTTAGCGAGAGATTTCAGGGCTGCGCCTTTACCCTTCACCTGAGCACGAGTTCAAAAGAACTCACAAACAAACACCTTGTTATAATAGGGGTTTTCCCCCTTTTTTTTCTGGCAACAAAACTGAAACCTTTTTACAAGGATTCATGTCTGCATTAACCAAAAGGTTTCAGTTTTGTTGCCAGAAAAAAGGGGAAAACCCCTATTATTACATTTTGGTACTAGCAAAGGAGGTCTAATGATGAAGATGCTCACACCGAGCCCTCATTACTTTGATAGTGCATTGTCTTTGAGCTGTGTGACGCTTTTTGGCGTCATCTGGTCGAGCACCAATTGGGTCGAGGCTCAAAAAAAAGCCGTCCCTTGGTGTGGACCAATCAGTTTCAAGGACAATGCATATATTATCATAGTATGTTTTTTGTTTGCATTTTGACTGCAGGTATTGTGGTTAATGCAGACAGGAATCCTTGTAAAAAGGTTTCAGTGTTGTTGCCAGAAAAAAGGGGAAAAACCCTATTATTACATTTTGGTACTGGCAAAGGAGGTCTAATGATGTAAAAGACCCACCCTGAGTTGTATCTTCAACGAAGCTCATGGACCACCCTAAACCGTATCCGCACAAACCATGGCAGTTGCGGATTCCTAATGCACAAATAAAAAATTAAAACTCTGCAGTGTGCGACTGCAGTAATCCAGAACAGACCATACAAGACAGAATGACGCGATGTCCCCATCCACAAATACGAAGGAGACTTCACAGTGATGCCAGTCCGCTGCTCCCGGACGCGGTGATATGGCTTGGCCACCTACATGTGAAATTGTAAAGTTGTCGCTCTGCATCGACATCATCAGCCATACGAAATTATAAGAAGCGCATTTGTCATTGAATTCCATTTAAAACGATTAATCGTTACCGAAATTCGGACGTGGCAATCAATTATAATTATGGAAATGGTTATCGGTTTATTGTTTAGAAACACGAATATGGAAATGATTGAAACCATTTGTAGAGACGAAACCGCAAGGGTTAGAATTGTATGAAGAAAGCAACATGATTACCGTATGCGAAGATGAGTCAGGCAAGGAGATAAGCTATCACCAAAGTTAATGAACGTGACATTTAGCCGGGCGGTCGTGAATACCCACGTGGTCTGTAACCCAGCACTGTGGAGGCAGCAGCGAGGGTTGGTGGATCACCGCACAAATGTCGTGAAACTCCCGTCCCGTGGGGCGTCGACCACGTGTCATAACCCTGGCTCGCCAGCAGATGGCGGTACAGCAAGCAACGTGGACTCCCGCCTGTTCCGTCTGCACGGGACAGAGTTTTTCCTCCTCGCACGCGACGGGTTTCTCCGGTTTACCGCCACGTGTGCACACTCATCAATGGGCCGATAACACCTACACACATTGAGGACCGCAGAGCTTGGGAAATTGTTGGCTCTGGCTGCTGCCTTCCAGCTTCTCTGTGGTTGAAATTATTATACAGTACTACATTATTCTATTTTTTAAGTCTGCCTGCCGCGAACGGACGCATGGACGGTCACATCCCCAGGACATGCAGGCTGCTACTTATTATTGTGGTATCTTCTGAAGATTGTATCGACGAAATAAATGCTGCACACATAAATGGAGAGCCCAATAACCATCTGCGCATGAATGCATCACGAGTTCATATACGGCAAGAGAATTGAGTGTTGCTCTGAGGCGAAATGAAGTGTAGGCTCGTGCGTGGGAGTGCAGATAGCCTGCAACACGTTCAGGTGTGTAGTGGTTGTATGTATGTGTGTGTCTGTGTGTGTGTTTGCGCTACGAACCCGGCGACCCGGGTTCGATTCCCGCTCACAGCCAACACCAGTGACGATTATTTGATTAGGTCGTGGGCCTCCCCTAGGTCGACTCTGCCTCAAATGAATACCTTGTGCGGTGTGTGAACATCACCACTGGGGAGACAAAGGCGGCCGGGCGTGGTGCTGACCACCCACCCCCTCGTGTGCCTTGCTGACCTATATAGGTGCTCGCTAACGGCACTTGCCCCAGCAGTCTGTTCAGCCTATACGGGGGATCTTTGTCTTTGTGTGTATGCATGAGCAAGCCTAGAATGGGAAGAAGGGCGCTAGCCCCGTAAGGGGACGTCCATAAATGACGTCACGCAATTTTTGACGACTTTTGACCCCCCCCCTCGTTACACGGCGTCACAAAAAGCGAGACCCCCCCCTCAAATATGACGTCACAAAGCTCTGCCCCCCCCCCAAAAAAAATAAAACACGCTTCAAATTGCTTTAAACTATTGTCATTGTAGTGCGTATTTAAGTAGAACGTGTTGTTTATATTTATGTAAAGTTGCGCATTTGATGTGACGTCACATTTCTCACCCCCCCCCCTCGTCACACATCGTCACAAATGTCTGACCCCCCCCCACCCCCCTAGGTGCGTGACGTCATTTATGGACGGCCCCTAATGCAAAATGTACGAACTATTCCCCCAGCGCGCGCGTTCTGCCCCACGGCAGATATGGGGGTGTGTTTACACAGGAACTTCCTGACACGATAGTGTTGAGTTTGGTCACGTGACCAGGAAGTTACGAGTAAATGGCCTCTAAGCCACGAGGCGAGGCAGGTGTGTCAGCCATGACATAGAGAATAAAATGGAGGCACAATTAGCGTCTCAGTGAAGACGGGTGCATCTGTTCATGGCGGGACTTTAATAAGCATTGTCTGTAAGTTCGTTTACGTTCTTACAATACTGGTAATGCTGTTATGTTAGAATTGCCGCTATAATGCTGTAAATGCCTTTATAATGCTGTTAAATTGTTACGATGAATAAGAGGCCTAGTTAACAACGAGGCCTGCCACTTGCATTATTGTGAATGTTATTTGTAGTTGGATAAATCGAGCCAGACTTGTGCCCATGTAACTTTAATGCATTCTTGAGAGCAAGGATGAAGAAGTATCTCATCCACAGTTCAGTGTTATATGCAGCACTGTACATTTAGGCTGCAGTACGGTGATTACACAAAGTGTGTTGGGGCTGACGTCCACCCCACCGCCCTCACTGGGCAGGTGGGGCACGACGTCCGCCCCTTCCACTCCCTCCACCGCATCGATCAGCTCCCGCTGGGCCCCCGCTGACTCGGTGATCAGTCTCCGCACGCTAGCGCCCTCTCTGAGGGACATGGCTAAACTGCTGGCTCACCGCTGCACGTAGTTAACCCACACTCACCCGGATACACCACAGCCAACGCTAACGCAGGGCCGTGACCGCGCTCGCACCTGCGGGTGATTATCTCCTAGCACGCACGTGCACACTGCGGCTCCGCGTTCTCTCTCCTGCGCCCACCACCACTCACACTAATGCGGCGCACAGCGGTACGACTGCACCCACCCCTACGAGCGATTAACTCTCAACACACGTGCACACGCTGTGGCTCCGCGTTCACTCTTCTCGCAACGCGTTTTCCCACGCAGTCGCTCCACACACAAATCACAGACACCACACCGATGCTCTGTGCTTACTTTTATTCGTGGCGCAAATACACACGACCTGGGGGAATATTTTGTGAGAAGAGCCTAGCCTACTGCTGCCTAAGTGCC